AGAGTTACAGGTTCTTCCTGTGCGATTTCATAAAAAGTTATTGTTGGAAAGACATATACACATTCTTGAATTGTAAACTTCAACCACGAGGAATGCAAAATAATCTACCGTTCATTTGATCTAGGGAATATACTTCATGGAATTTGCTTACTTCAGTGAACTGTCTTCATGAAATTCATTACTCTAGATAGGACCTTGTTTCTGGTTTTGTTCCTAACTGATTCTACAAGTAAAATTGATGATCTGGTGGCCTGAAAATCATATACAACAAGAAATCTGTTTTCATCCACAATGAGGAGTCACAAATTTGAACCTCAAATCTGAGCCTCTTCCTCTGCTATGCCTTGGGTCTTGGATTAGCTGCTCCTTATCCTTTAGCTCTCAGGTAAAGCTTTGCATTTCAAAGAAACCTTTGACCACATCATTTATGGTCTTTTGCTTTATACTTTCTTAGTACCATCCCTTTTCCTTCTGTGCACTTGTCATGTTTTGTAATTATACTTTGCAGTTCACTTGCAAAAATTTGCCTGTCACATTAGTCTTGGTTTACAAGAGTGGTTCTCATAAGTGGTAGAGAATCGGCACTGTGCTAGCACGGCACCTACAACATAATAGTTGCTCAATAAAAATTTGTTGTGTGAACTGTCATTTGGAATCCTAGGGTACATAGGTGAGATATTGGCCAAAGTTATGAGTTTCAGAGTCATCTGTACTTAAAATAGTATGTTAATTCAAGAGATAGAATGTGATCACCCATCCAAAGGAGAAAGTACAGAGAAAGAGGGAGAAGTTTGGAACATAACCTTGGGGATCTTCAACATTTATTGGATATAAAACAGGAGATACGGGCAAAGGATACCAAAAAAAAAAAAAAATAGTGATAGTGGTGAAAATAAATTCAGGAGAATGTGCTGCTAAGACAACCAAGAATAGAGACTCTTAAGAAGGTGGGAGAGGTCAGTTTTGACAAATAAAGCTAAGAAGTAAATCTGGATCCGGATAAAAATGTTACCACTAAGCTTGGCATCTTCAAGGTCATTTGTGACCTTGATAAGAGTAATCTCAGGGAGGATAGGGATGTCAGGCTACAGTGGGTTGTTAAGGGAGTTGAGCAATCAGAAACAGCTTCTGTGGGACACTTTTTTCAAAAAGACTTACTGGGAAGGGAAACGGAAGCGGAGCTGGAGAGGAATGAAGTATCAGCAGTATTATTTTGTTGTGTTGTATTGTGTTTTAAAAAGTGTTTTAGGGGGCCTCCCCGGTGGCGCAGCGGTTGAGCTCTGGATTGCGAAGCTGCCCGCAGCCTCTGCAGCACTGGTTCAATCCCCACCTGCTCCCCGGCCACCGGAGGAGGGTCCCATATGGCGCGGACACCTCTCCTGCCGCCCACTGCTCCCCTCAGCAGTGTGCTTCTGTCCTTCTGCCTGCTCTGCTCCCCGCTCTGGCTCTGGTGAATTCCCTCACCCTCCCGTGCTTCTGACTGTATCCAGCGCTTGTATAAATAAATAAAAATAAATCTTAAAAAAAAAAAAAAAAAGTGTTTTAGGGCCTCCCCAGTGGCGCAGTTGTTGAGCGCTGGGTTGCGAAGCTGCCCGCAGCCTCTGCAGCGCGGTTCGATCCCCAGCTGCTCTCCGGCCACCGGAGGAGGGTCCCACATGGTGCGCAGACCTCTCCTGCCGCCCGCTGCTCCCCTCAGCAGTGTACTTCGGTCCTTCTGCCTGCTCTGCTCCCCGCTCTGGCTCTGGTGAATTCTCTCACCCTCCCGTGCTTCTGACTGTGCCCAGTGCTTGTATAAATAAATAAAGAAAGAAAGAAATAAATAAATCTTTAAAAAAAAAAGTGTTTTAGTGGACATTACTAGAATATGTTTCTATGAGGAGTGGAAATATTCAATAGTAAAGAGAGAGAGATTATTTGGTAAAGAGAAAGGCTAAGAGGAGAAGCTCTCTTAGCAGTTTCCTAATAAGGAATCCATGCTGGTCTTACATTGTTATTCTTTGATTTAGACCTATGCAACAATTAGAAGTAAGAGATAGTTGAAAAGTGGCTAGCATAACTTCATAATGCAGACCTGGAGGGGCTGTAGGAGATATGTCAAACCACTCTAGAAAGATCTTCAGGAAATTGCAATTTGTTATTTTTCTCTGGGCCTGGGCATTAGTTCGAGGGTTTCTCAACCTTGGGTGCTATTGGCATTTCAGTTCAGATACTCTTATGTTGTGGCAGAATGTCCCTTGCGTTGTAGGACATTTAGCAGAATTCTTAGCTCCTATCCACTAGATACTAGCAATTTCGAACTGCCACAACCAAAAACCAGGCAATGCTAATTGTTTCCTGGATGAAGGGAGAGGGAAGGAGACAAAGTAGCCCCAACTGAGAACCACCGAGTTATTAAAAACCTGAGAAAGTTGGGCCTCCCCGGTGGCGCAGCGGTTGAGCGCTGGGTTGCGAAGCTGCCCGCGGCCTCTGCGGCGCCGGTTCGATCCCCGGCTGCTCCCCGGCCACCGGAGGAGGGTCCCACATGGCGTGCAGACTTCTCCTGCCGCCCGCTGCTCCCCTCAGCAGTGTACTTCGGTCCTTCTGCCTGCTCTGCTCCCCGCTCTGGCTCTGGTGAATTCTCTCACCCTCCCGCGCTTCTGACTGTACCCAGTGCATGTATAAACAAAACAAACAAACCAGCAAACAAATAAATAAAGCATGCCTCTATAAAAAAAAAAAAAAAAAAAAAAAAAAAAAAAACCTGAGAAAGTTTAAGTTAAAAAAAATCAACAAATCTGAACAGCTGTGTAAGTTGATAAATATTGCTTTCATTGCCTTATGCTGTTGTGGAAATTATTCATAAATCTTGTTTGAAAGCATATTGTGCTATACATAGATATTTGTATTTTTTAACTCCAAGAAAAAAATACTGTAATATAATTTTTAATATTTGAAGTAGAAGGAACCAGGAAAAGAAAATCAAATCAAATATATGTACGGATGAATGGACCTCAGGGATGATGTCAGGGAAAGGAAAGTCATGAGCATTTATTTGTTGTACCCTATAACCTACCTTTTGTAAACCTGATTAAAACGTCTTAAACATACTCGTTGTATTTAATGAGACAACGAAAAAACCCCAATACACTAAGAAAAGAAAGTAACTTCTTAATATGATCAGTTAACGTTTTAGTGTATATGCTGTAGGACTTTCTGTGCGTTTCATTTATTCATTAACTTATTTATTACACATATCTCTTAGGAAGAACAGGATCCGGCCAGTCAAGGGAGATTTAGATTCTTTTTTAGTAGCAGGTATTTAGACGTTTTAGTGGAAGGAGCTAGTGTAGGAGGAGAAAAATGGGATGATCTTTGGAAGGTTTCTGAGAAGGTTAGAGGAAATGGATTTTAAGCACAGAGAAGTAATTAGCTTTTGTTTGGGTATAAAAAGCGTTATATGAGAATGGAAAGAATCCACACATATACATTCGAATATCTATCTATCTTATTTTATCTATTGCACATGGCAGTATTTTGCTGTTTATCCTGTATCTACTCATAGATAAATATTTTTACTTTACCTACACGTTCCTATCTTACTCGCTTAGGTATCACACTGTTTCTACATGTTGCTTAACCGTATGAGCTACTTCGAAACCTGCCTTTTCACTTGTTCTGTTGTAAACATGCCGTTACTCTTCCTTCCCATCATTTTCCAGTATCCTAAGGCATGTCAGCACTTGGGCTCTGAAAGCCCTCTCGTAATGTGGGACATTTTGGTCGTTTGCAATTTTTCACCATCACCAATGGCGGGACTTTAATATCTGGACGGTGAAATATTTGCAGCGACCCAGGATTATTTTTTGACCAGAAATTCCTGCAAGTGGAATTGCTGAGTCAAACGGTCTGCAACAGTCGGCGGATTAAAACACGCTTTTTAATCCCAGGGCGCCCCAGGTATGCATTCTCCACCTGAGGAGGAAACGAGCAGCAGAGAGCTTACAAAACTGACCCAAGGTCAAAAATAATTAGAATTGGAGGATTTTTAAAAGCCGCGCGGGCTCATCAATGCTGCGGGAGGGGTAGAATTTGCAGTTGAGGCGATTTTTCTTTTTTTAAGTGTTCGGTGGGGGAGGGGCAGGGCGCCGAGGAGGAAACTTGTGTCGCAGCAAAGGAGGAGGAGGAGAGGGGAGGAGAGGAGCGCGGCGAGGAGGGGAGGCATTCCAGTCAGATTCGAGCCGGCCGTGGCAAGAAACTCGGGGCTCTGGGGGCCCCCCAGGCGCCCCGCGGAGGCTGTGACCCTCCAGGGAGGTCCGGCTGGGGGCCCCGCGGAGAGCCGGGGCGGTTGCCAAGGGCCGGCCCCGTCTGCCGGCGGAGTTGCTAGGGCCTCCATCTTGAGGCCGCTGGCTGCGGCGCCCCCGGAAGCAGTCGCCGACTGGGGCATTCACTTCCGGTCTGGGGCCTGCGGCGGCGGCGGCGGTGGCGGCGGCGGCGGCGGCAGCGGGTCGGTGTAGAAAATGGCGCTGGTGCAGCGGCTCGGGCCTCTCCCCGCGGCGCTGCGGAGGGCTTGAGGCTCGCGAGCCTCACTCGCCGCGCCCCACTTGCTCGTGCACTTTACACACATGAGGTGAGCGGGGCGGGGGCCTCCCTGCGGGCGGGAGGAGCCTGGGGCGCTGCCGCAGGGCCCGCGATCGCGGGCGGCGGCTGCGCCGGGCGTCCCCCAGTCTTGGGGCCCGGCCGGGGGCGCGGGCGGCGCCGCTGCGGGGGCCGGGCGGGGGGCTCGGGGCCGTCGCGCTGCGCCGCTGGGCCGGGCCGGGGACCGCGGCTGGCCCGGGCCGCCTGACCGCAGTCGGGCTGCAGCCCCGCGCGCCCCCCCCACCCCCAGTGCGCCCCACTGTGCGCCCCACCCCGTGCGCCCCCCCGGGGCTCCCCTCCCCGGGCTCCCCTCCCCCACCCCGCCCCGCGCGAGCCTCTGCCGCAGCGGCCCGGTTTTCACCGCATCTCTCTCTCTTCTGTTCCAGAGAATTGGAGGCTAAAGCTACCAAAGACGTGGAAAGGAATCTCAGCAGGTGAGACGGGCGGACCCCCCTCCCGCCCCGGTGGACGTGGGTGTCCCCCCGGCCGCCCCCCACCCCGGCCCGCAGGGGCCCCGTGGCGTCTCCTTTCGCGCTCAGGGAGCAGTCGGGAGAGGAAGCCCGAGGGCCTGCCCGGGATGGAGGGATTGCGGGGAGATGCGTAATTACGCTTGTGTTCCTTTCTTTGAAAAATGAAAAGGGAAAAGCAATTCTTGTAAACTTAGTTAAAGCATTCTCACCCTCTTAGAATTTAATTAGGGGACTTGTGCATTAATTACTATTGTAAATGGTTGCAGGCATTGTGTGACTCATGATTGAGGCGGCCCTTATGGCGGGCTGTCAAACTGTTTTGGCTTCCCCGTTATTACTTTGTAACTCAAATTGTTGCCTTTATCAAAAGATAGGATGTGTTCGCATTTCCCCCAACACATTGTAGTCGGGCGGATTCTGTCGCGGTGGGAACAGTTTTGCCCTTGAACTTTACCGAGCATAAACTGCGTTTTGTTTTCGTTTGAATCTGCGTGTGTGTCTACTTTGGGGGTTTGCTCTTTTCTCAGCTGGTAAAATAATTAAAAATCAGTACCCAGTAAGTGGCTGTCATTTCTGTTGGGCTTGAGTGTTTTTGCTCCAGTATCTTCAATCATCAACACAGAGGGAGCTTTTTGTTTTTTTTAAAGAGGATATCCTTTATGGAAATGCTTTAGCTTTATTGAACTGTAATTGCTTGAGCATCAGCACTTGCACTCTATTTAATCTTTTTCACATTCGTTTTCCGCCTTGTAGTCTTATTCACTGTTTTCTTTTGCATCTTATTGGGACACTCAGAGAAACTTCTAGATTAACCTAATCCGTGAGCCGCTTTCTTTCACTTGGACAGAAGAAAATTTCTGCTCAGGCCTTGGTAAAATATAGTTTGTGCTTGATTGTAAGTTTTAGGTTTATCTTGAGGTTATCAACACTCCTAATTCAAAACATCTGAATTATTTTTCATTGCAAATTGCTGGCCGTCTGAGTTATTGATCTTAATCTATTAAAGTGATCGTTGCAGAATCTGCTCAGTTGGGAAAGGATGGGCATTATTGGCCTACCAAATAGGAGATTTTCTGTTACTCAGAGTAATTATGGAGTCATTTAAAGGAAATTAAGCTTGGCATCACTCACTAGGTAACTGTTCCTTGGACATTTAAATACATTTTGTTGTCAAAAGCTATTAAAGGTCAAGATATGACGCTATTCAAGAAAACAAGTTGAGTTTTTAAGGCATAATTTCAGCAACAACAGAGAGGAACTTTGGGTCCTATTTCTTCCATTTTTGCTTTGTCAGGTAACTATACCAATTAAGTATATATACTTAATTAAACATTCTCGCTACCTAGTGTATAAGTTTCCTGTGCTATTACAATTCAGTGTAGAGTCTTTGTATCAGCTGTGTATCAAGAGTTTGAATCCCAGCTCTGCCATGTACAATATGACCTTGACTCTTGGCAAATCACTTGGCTTCTTTGTGTCTAATCTCTAAAAGGAGAGGTTTGGGCCAGTTGGTAAAGTCTGTTCCTCCGGTGGGTTACATAAAAAGGAGTCAAGCGTTGTCCCTGACTGCAGAGAACATTTATAATCTAATAGGGAGATTAAAATCAGTATACATAAATAACTAATACAAGGTGTTAATAACTCATACAACACAGATGGTGTGGGAGGTGGTCAAAAAAAGGGAAAAATAAGTATCAAGGAGGTTGCAAGGCATTGTTTATGTAGGAAGGACCGTGTTAGAAAAGAACATGTCCTAAAGGCTAAATGTTCTGAGGGAGTGATATCAGCTTCTCAACTGCACCTCTAGCTCTATTTCCTTTTTCTTAATCACATAAGTAATTGAGAAAGTCAAGGCGTATTTCTGTATTCATTTAGTAAACATTTCTTAAAGCATGTTTTACCTTCCAAATTCAAGACTACGCACTAGGGAGGGGAAGACTGAAAATAAATGTACTAAATGTTTACTATCTGACTGATACACTTTCCTGAAGACTTTCCATGGACTCATTTGGTCCCTGGAATATTCTGTGAGGTAGGTACTGTTATTACCCCAGTTTTACAAATGAAATCTTCAAGGCACAAAGGTTAACTTTCAGGAGACCACATTATTGGTGATTGGAGTAGCTGTCAGGCTTCATACGATATTGAATTGTCTTTTAGTAGACGCATGGTCATTCACCTTGAAAAATTTGAAAATGTCTTTGGGGAGACATTAACCACAATGCTTCTAGATCAAACGTTCTCTTCCTAGGTTAGGAATTCTCAGCCTGGGCACTGTTGACATTTTTAAACTAGGTATTTTACTATTGTGAAGTGTACGCTGTACATTGTGGGATATACAGCTGCATCTGCCAGTGGCAGCACTCCTGTCTAGTTTTCACAATCAGATAGTGCCTAGGGGCAAAGTCACCCCTTGTTAAGAACTGCTATTCTAGATCTTAATATTTCCTGAAGAGAACCCCGCTATTGGATTTTTAATGTGAAATCTCAATATTAATTTAAGTATCTTCAATACTATGGAAGTTGAAACCCCATTTTGCTCTCCCCAGTTTGGAATGCTCGTTTCTCACTGTTTTATTGTCACCCTCTGCTAAGCTGCAGTTCTTCCTCAAGGCAGTATGCCGGCTTACACAAGAGATAAATTTAGTTTACCACCCTAAGTAAATTATCTTAATTTACTGTTACTCATTAAAATTGTCACATTATGTCAGTGTCATGGGCATTCAAAGAGGTAACTATAAAGTCTACATGGGGGTGCTCACTTTGGAATCAATATTGAGAGGCAGTGGAAAGGGCAGTTTATCAATAGTAGAAATGAAGGCACAGAATCTGGAAAGTACTGGGGATTTTGATATCACAGTTGAGTTGTTCAGTTGGATTGGTGTTTAAGTTTGAGAGCGGTATTACAGGTTCTTGAATATCAGGTTGAGGACTTTTTACGTCAGTCTTTTAAGTAGTGGGAAACTTGCATGTTTTGGGGTAGGGTAATGATAGAATAATGATAGCTAGTGATCTGGGCAAGAGGTGACGAAGTGCTGAATTAAAGTGGTGCTACAAAGGGGTCAGAATGAAATATTGAGGAGTAGAATCTGGTATTGGGCAACTAACAAATCTGGAATTATAAATATGCCCGGGTTTCCATCTTGGGTGAATGGGAGATTGACCCAGCCTCTGAACAGTAGCGGAATCAGGACATAAATAAATGTTATTTTGGGGAGCGATTAAGTTACATTTTTCAGTTTTGTAAAAAATCTCTTCTACTCTAACTTAATCCAATCAAAAAATATCTTGAAGGCCAAAAACCATGGAATCATTGAACATTTAAAACTGGGCCATTACATTAGCTAGAGACCAACTAGTATTCTGACCCCTTCATTTTACAAGTGAGAAAACTGTGGTTGAGCAACTTAATAAAGATTATATTCTCTAGTAAGTGACAGAGTTGGGTTTTGAATAGGCCATTTTTACTCTCGCTGTAGAGGTCTTCCAACTTCACAATATTTTGTATTGCACAGTTGAAAAAAGATAACTTTGCTTTCTCTGAAATGTAAGGATAATTATATCAATATATTTCTGCCCATTCTAGTAATGAATGTACTATAAAGTAGCATATTGTCTGAAGTAGAAGTTTAATTCTTCATGTTAAATGCCATTGTACAACAATAATTGTTAAAGTTCTGTAATCACATATAATGTGGCATCTAAACTGGGACACTTGTCTGACTTTTGTTTGGGACAAATGCTAAATAAGAAAAGGTTAGGGACTGCGGGAGTAAACCAGGGTGGTCTCCATATGTGAGGTAGAGCCTGCTTTTCCAGTTCTTCAGTCTTTATGTGAAAAAAAAATTATCTTTTGATTTTGTGAAATTTTTTGCTAGTTTCTTGAGATAATGTAGGAGATATGTAGGCCAGGAAATTCATATTGATGGATTTCTTTCTAGCTTAATTTGGCAGCTGTTTGGCAAATCAATAGGTAGAATGAATGAATCACTAACTATAAGCTTAATTGAAATTTTCCCTCTGGAAATTTTAAATAGAAATATCGTTTAAAAATCTTGAGACTATTTTGTAAGCTCCTGTGAATTTTTTGGCATCTGAAGTATGCTAGCATTATAAATTAGAAAGTTTTAAAGTTCCGTCAGCTCTGTTTTATTACCGTCTCAAAAGTATTACGTGATTAGGAAGACTTAAATAGGTATGTGCTGTATGCATTCTGTTCAGCCAGACTTACTTACTACAAGTCTCTTACACAAAATCAAGAAAAAAATCCTCCCGTTTAAAAAAATTTTTTCTAACCTTCAGCAAAGTAACAAAAAGAATAAACACCTGTTGGGCCTCCCTGGTGGTGCAGCGGTTGAGCACTGGGTTGCGAAGCTGCCTGTAGCCTCTGCAGCGCTGGTTCGATCCCCGGCTGCTCCCCGGCCACCGGAGGAGGGTCCCACATGACGCGCAGACCTCTCCTGCCGCCCGCTGCTCCCCTCAGCAGTGTACTTCGGTCCTTCTGCCTGCTCTGCTCCCTGCCCTGGCTCTGGTGATTTCTCTCACCCTCCCGCGCTTCTGACTGTACCCAGTGCTTGTATAAATAAATAAATAAATCTTTAAAAAAAAGAGAGAAATGGCACTGAAGGACTCTGAACAGTGCTTTAAAAAAAATAAATAAACACCTGTATTTCTACCTAGGTTTACTGATTATTAATATTTTGCCATAATTATTTTATCATGTTCCTTTACCCGTAAATAAGGCAACATGTATCTCCCAACAACAGGACAGTCTACATAGCAACAATTAAATTATCACACTTGAAGAAGTTTAACTTTGTTACAATATTATTCAGTTAATGTTCAGATTTTTCCATTGTCCCAATAATGTCTTTTTAAATAGGTTTGTTCTTTACCTTCAGTTCCTTGATCCAGCCTTGAGTGTAAGTTGTCTGTTGTTTCCTTACATTTGGAACCTTTCCTTG